CGTTCCTGGGGTATTTCGTTGAGATAACTAACCACTTATTAAACCCTTAAATTACTTACCACATTTGATTAATTATATCAAGTGAATTTATTTATTCAGTTATAGAATCTTTTGGTTTATTATAATCAGATGATTAGATGTATATCTCTTAATTTACTTGAAGTAGTCAAAATGAAGTTGAACTACCATTGTTTCCATGTAAGTTTTATTAAACTCTATGTATTAATTTATTAGACTGGTGTAATAATAACCTTGATTATCATATTATGCTTATTTATATATTATATAACCACGTTATGGTGAAACGATGTCCGTTTCGCATTAACGTGTCTCAGGTGAACGTCGTGAGTTATAATACACGTCTCTTTTATTACAATTTCGTGAAACTACAAGCTTATTCGAGGCCTGAATTATTCATATGTTTACGATGTTCTAAAAACTTTTACTGAAATTGTTTTTATTACACCCAGGCAATACAATTACGGAGCGAAATATAACTAGATTTTTTTTGTTTTTGTTTGAATAGAAGTTCAAAATATATGAAAATTCGTTACAATATTATTTCGGTAAATTTATGTTTCTTTTTTTTTATAGAAATATTAACAAAGTAAAAGTTTTTCACCTTATTATCACAGACTAAAAGCCAAATGGCTGGAGATAATCCAAACGTTCAGGTCTGAAAACATCATGCTGACGTCACACTGTAATCAGTTTGTGTACATTAGCCAGTGCAAAGGTCAACATGTTGGTAATCGGTGTCGGCAAAGTATGCTTTGAAGATAAGAGAGAAGCAAATTAAATATAAATACCCTACAAAATATTCACAAAAATACCTAGATTACTTTAAATTAACATATTTTCATTTCTAAATGTTCCTTAATAACAGTTGATGATAAATAAGATTCAATTTCAAGAAACAATGACAACCTTATTGGAATGTAAAAAGTAACATAAACGAAAAAAGACAAGATTAAAAATAAATAATTCCCTTCCAGAAGACAACATACTCGTAGATATCTAATCATTTATTTTTTATCATATCCTATTTCAGAATCTCAAAAGCATTGTCAAATAATAATAAATTATTTCTTTCTTTATATTCTATTTATATCTTTATACTCTATTCCAATTTGGTAATCGATTGTACCACAACATTACATAAAACAATATGGTTAGTATTATATTTGAAATGTGAGGGAAGTTTAAAAAGATATCAGTTAAATTACATGAAGCAGACAAAACTCCATTTGACCATATGCTTAGTAATGAATTTTGTAATCTTTCGCAATAATATTTTTCCACCTACTGAGACTTTCCTCGACGTAAACGAAAATGGAATGTGAAATATAAAAGTATTTTAATAAATCAATGAAACCCAAATAAAAGTCACGTCTTATCTAAATGACACAAAGGACCTTTAACACCAAATTATTGAGAGAAGAATGTTATCATAAAATTCCGATTTCCCCTTTTCACATTGGGATACCACATAAATGCAAGAATGTCAAATAAGTTCAATGGTTTCGCACAAAATCTGAAGGGATGGTCTGAGCTAATAGAAATTCCTCCATTGAAGGACTAAAAGAGCCACCTTTCGTATTCAAATTCCAGTGAAATTATAGTTATATTCGGATGGGATTTATTATAATACAGATTAGATTTTCTTACCTGTTCATTCTGGAGTAAAATATTTTATTTCATCTATCGTCTGACCTTTGTCCTTTTAATACTTTAGCCTTTAAGTTAAAGTGTTTCTTTATTTAGCATGAACATATGAACTGAAGAAAACACACATATATATATATATATATATATATACATACATATACACATCTTCTATATATATAAAAATGGATTGCTGTTCCTTAGTCTCGCTAAAACTCGAGAACGGCTGAACCAATTTGGCTAATTTTAGTCTTGAAATACTCCTGGAAGTCCAGAAAAAGTTTAAAAGGTGAGAAAAAATTGAATAATTGCCGGGAAAACCCTAGAAACAGCCCTTTTCTATTTCCCATACAAACGTTTTTTTTGACATTAGATTTGACAACTATAAACTAATATGTCAATCATTCTGTTTGATTGAAACAGGAAAAACCTGATTATTTATGGCCTCTAAGACGGAATAGAGATTGCCTGGTCAGCTTCTTCTTCGACCTGGCAATTTCCCAGCTATAGCCAGGGTCTGCCTTACATGTTTGTGAATAGTTTTGGCTATTTGTTTTTACGACCGGCCGCCTGCCTGACATCAACCCTCTTTGGGAATGCATTAATCAGTGATGTCTAAATACTCTTAGAAAGTACATATGACTCGGAAAAATTACATTGGTACTTGCCCGGGCCAGGATCGAACCCGCGCCCTCGGCAACGAGAGGCGGGCCCTTTAACCACTAGGCCACCACTGCCTGTTCAGCTATACCTACATATATTACTCTTGACCAAACTAACGCGGACGAAGTCGCGGGCAAAAACTAATATATATATATATATATATACAAGATTACATTATTATGAGTACTGAGTTTCTGCTATTGTATTTATTAATTATATATTTATTAATCATCCATTTTAAATAAATAAAACTGTTAACGAAACAAAATTAGATAAGTATATTAAAAATCTATATTTCTTTTACTAGTTTTAAACACTTACAAATTTTATCCTCAGAAAATATATTCATTAAAATGACTTTAATTACAAAAAAAAAAATCAAATGTTTTGAGACTAGGTCGCCGTTCTGCTTTGCTTACATTCATTTATTACGAGGGTTAATATTTTGACGAAAATTTAAAATCTATTTCTCGGGACCTTTTTCTGAGGTATTCATACATAATAGTACATAGCAAATACTTTCAGCTTCGATATTTTTTATATATGTATTTCTCAACATATTGATGGTGAAATATTATTGGTTGTAAATTGTAAAATTGTATCAGATGGTGGAAACATGAGGAAAAATTGAAATGGTGACCCCATACGCACTCAGATTTATTACAAAACTGCTGGCATGTAATTGCTACTATTTAAAAAAAATATTTTTAATTTACTATAATTTTGATAAAAAAGAAAAAAAGTTTCGTCCAAAGCTATATGACCTTTCAATTTATGAAAAAACGAAATCGAAATCTAATTATATAAAAACATTCCTTCATAAACGATTCTATTTCCTTTTTGCGCACAAGTATAGCGCTGCCGAAAATAAATTTATACCATACGATATTCTGTACAATGCATATAATTCATGAATCTTATTTTAGATCTCATCATAGTTCTCAGCGTGATATTTTCTAAACCTGTCCCGGGCACGTCAAATCAACGGAAATTACATTCTGTATACTGTCCGATATTCTTGGAAGCGGGAATGGACGGTTATTGAAAAATAACTTATGACCGGGGATATCCACGGCTCAGCTCAGCTTCATAATTCAGTGCTACTTTATATTCTATTTTCAATTCAATTTAACTCGGAGCTGAAAATAAAGTGGTACTTTTAATAAATATCAAAGTGGCCGAAAGAAAATTATGATTTAAAACATATTTTTCCTTATATAATAAATACACAACCTGTCTGTTACCTTGACACATGCGACGTGAATAAATAGGTTTAAGTGAGATTACTTTAAAACTATTCTATTTCACTGAATTTATTTAAACATACAATATTTTAGTATCATTTAATAAAAGAAGAAGCAACAGAAATATCAGATAACATAAATAAATATACTTCATTTGAATTAGAAAATATGGTTTTATTTAAAGGTGTATTACTCGTGAAAATATTAAAAATCATTGTATCGCATGTATCCATCCTTTGTCGAGACTTGATCACATCGAACACAAAACATCACATTCCACTATTTATGAAACCTTTCCAAATAAAATGTGTTGCCTTTTATTACGTGCTTATTCTGTACGAGATTCCATTTATATTACATGATTTATTATCTTGTCAAATCTCGTAATCTTGTGTCGTCACTTGGGAACATTCAAGCATGACAGTGAGCGGATTGATAAATGTGCTTTATAAGGTTCTTATGATAAGGACTTAGATAGAACAAGGCTAGCCTCCGGCTTTATATGTCTTGTATGACTACAATGAACATTATTTAGGATTAAACAATGTTTTCTACTTAATGATATTCAGTTATGATGATTGAGCTGGAATTTAAAATTACCTGAAAGTTTTGGAACAACTAATTTAATCACGAACATGTGTTGTTCAAGAATGAAGAACTTTAGCTTTAGCACTCAGTAAACAGCTGCTTCATAATTTTTCATGTTTATTAATAGTATATATTAAAATTTACTTACGTGAGGCAGGAACTTATAGAGAAATATATTCTAATATAAATTTTGTATTAGCCTAGTTTTAAATTGAATATTAACATGAAATATGAATAAAAAAGGTTCAATCATTTAACAGATTTGCTAAATAAATGATAAAGCAAACAATGCTCGCTCGTAAAAATAGGTTAATACAGAGATTAATGTGAGAGGCTATTGAAATTTAAAATAAATCCAGTAAATTCAAAAAAATAGAGACAATGGCTAGTAATTTTATCCAAAATATCATTCAAAATATAATCCAAAATATAAAATCCCATAACTGTACTTAACATAACATGTTCTTAACCCCATTACAAAATCTCAAGATTCAGTAAGCTCATTATTCATGTAGCTAAAACGAAACGCAAGAAAATTAGGAAATAGTTGGTGGGTATATGACAAATAACAAGACAAAATGACAGACACTTTTATTTTGACACACCGTGATCACAGTTCTTGTGTAGTAACCGGAGAATTGTTGGATAAAATGTATTATCATATTAGGAAAAAGCGAGTAATATATTCGAAAATCATAATTAATTTAAATTTTAAGCTTTTTTCCAATAAATTAGTTTTTTTTTTGGGATTTTTACTAACGATAATATTCACTAATATAGAGTGTAACAAATGTTTAATATATATTTAATCGATCTAAGAAAAACATTGTCATTGCTTAGTTCGAGACGAGAATCTTCAACGACAGTGGGATATTTATAACAAACAGTTCTTGCGATCTGTCGTCTTGTATCATCACTTTGAAGCCTGAACCCGGCACAGCAAAGTACACTTGCGAGGTCTCCAGTGAAGGCCCTCGCTTTGCACTAGCGAGAAAATCTGCCAATATGACGTTAGCAGGTAAGATTACACGATGATATTATATTTTGAGGATAGGCTTACATATATTAAACTTGAAGTGTATATTATAGTATTTTAACTGAACAGAATAATATCGGTTAATTTTTGAGACTGCATGATTATAATATTTTCGATTTCTGTAAATGGTCTAAGCGAATTAAATGAGTAATGGATGAATTACGGAAAAATGTCTTTCTTAAAAGTATTTCCGAGTCACATCTAAAATTATGTACTATTATGCATATTTTTTTTAATAAAACATTTTCTGTTATAAGACAAACATTTCAGTAATATCTTAGACGTAATGGTTTACTAAGTTTGGATGTTAATGGTGTTTTTTATAACAGTATTACCGGAGTATGAACCGTTGATTACTGGTCTGCCAACGTTCGTGAACGCTGGTGAACAGGCGTTAGTCAACTGCACGTCAGACTACTCCCTCCCAGCAGCTATCATAGACTGGTTTGTGGATTCCGAACCTCAGGAGGTGAGACAATTTTTCTTTTGTTTATTCATCAAAGCTAAGAAGTCTAATCTTCGTGTTGGATTGATTTTATCATTGTTAGCAAAAGTTACTGATAGTTAAATTCAAGTTTATATTTAGCAAATAGTGAAAAAAAGATATGTAGATAGATATGTGGAACAAATTACTTATTTTTTATATAAAAGAGCCCATAGTGTATATATAATATTTTCTTTATGAAGCTGTGTAAGGTAGTCTCATTCTAAATCCGTAAAAAACCTTATTACACACCATTATCTTCTTTATCTCAAAGCTATTTGAAGAGAAAAAACCATTTCATAACAGCGGTACCGAGAGCTCGAGAAAAACCTAAGATATTGATCAGATGATGTTTATGTCATATCACTTTATAGTTTCATGTGACATTTTATGTTAGAAATAACATTATGTTTTAGGTTTCTGATGTCATTTGTTTTATTTCTCATTCTTTTGTCGTCTGCTTTAAAAACTTTCATTGTATGTGTTGCGTTTTGTGTGCCTTCACATGTCCTTCATATTGTTTTACGTTCACCTCAAAACATCAATGTATTTAAATTTAGCTTTGGACAGGTTATACTTCGGTTATAAGCTCAAAAGAAGGCAGGAGATGAAATTTTTATGTAAACGACAATCTAATTTTCTACTCGTATTCAAATACAAAAATGATTACAGATTATTAAATATATTGTTATATTATTTTCGTTCTACATAAAATTAATATCTTCGTAATAATATTCTTGCTTGGGAGATAAAAGCCTGATTTTATTCAAACGTTCAATCACCTTACATACTCTCATACAACCAAGAGTATAACCTCAGTACATAAGTGTACCGTCACTTACTTAATATATGTTTTGTCGCGTCTATAAAAATATTCTTTGATATTATCAAGGGAGATGTAAATGGAGGATGTAAATTGAATGGTAATAGCATATGAAGACGCTTTTATTTTCATGTCACGAGAAAATAATACTCTCTTTAACCTCATTGTGTTTTTATTCTTATACACACATTCAATAAAGGTTTGTAGTTTTCATTTCAATGAAATATCAATCGCGACAATATTTTTATCACTAGGCAATCCAAACTGAGATTGAGTAAAACTTTTCTGTTTGGTTAAAACATAAACATAAAAACGTCTTTAATTTCTCTAAAAGGTAATTAAATGTAATGACAATTTTTTCCTTAACCTTTTTTGAAATAAAGTTTTAAGAAAGCTACTCAGAAAGTCCACAAAAAGAGATCTTGAATGAGTTGTAGTTTTCTATATAACCCAGGGTAAGATGTAAGGGCGTTCCAGACCTTTTGTGGGCCTCTTTACAGGGACTCTCAGCACAATAAACCTTTTTCTGTTCGTTGAAGCCATTGTTAAAGTAAAACCATTTTGATGTGTCATGATTTTTTCATTTTGTAACGCTGTGAGCAAATTTAAGTATATTAATTCAAAGGTAATAACAAAAGGTTCGTTGTTGATAAGAATTCTTCACAAAGTTAAAAAGTAAATAAGAGTCAGCAGTTTCATAATTTTTTGTTATTATTTATTATTATATGAACAAATTCCTTATTATATGAACAAATTTTAAACGTTCCTCTCTCTAAATATATAGACTATATGTTTATAAAAAAATATACATTTTACATCGTGATTAATAACATTATGAACTTTTGAATAAAGCACGTAAAATTCTTTTGTACTCTTTTAATTTTATCAGGCTTATTTTATTAAATGGAATAACTATACACATATTCTGTAAAAATAGATGTCATTGTATAAATCGTTCCATCAGATATAAAACATGTTCAGTCTCAATACAAAAAAGCTATTAAGATCCTCAAACAATACATTAGAATTGTGACAAAAACAATCGAATGATCAAGATCAAAGGTAGAAATCTTGGGTTAAATTGATTTACAAAAGAATTCTAATAAAAGGAATCATGTTGGTTTGTTACAAAGTAAAAGTTTCATTGACGATCTTTCATTACTTAGATATAAAATGATTAAAACACTCAAAATATATTGAACACAAGTATAAAATTTTCGCATCGTTCAATATTCAAATAACAGCAACAACATACAAAACATTGTTTTGACAGTTTTGGAATTCTAACAATCACAGTTTTATTTTTATTTACGACACGATGGGAATGTTACAAACATATGCAAAAAATGTATATATTGTTGACAAATAAATTTTATCGGTTTATTCGCTCTATTTTCTGTGATTGGAGCAATAAATAAAGAGACTAACAAAATCCGTTAGGCCTACAGCAGTACGATTGGATTGAACCGTTCGACTGAAAACACAAATGGCGCGGAAGCATCGACCAAGTTCGTTATAACTTGCCATTTGATTTACTGTTAATGAACGATATTACAAGGACTATGAATCAATAAATAGTTGTTAGGAAAAATATTCTTTGCTATACATATGTCTAGTAACGGTTGCTAGAATTTTTATCTAATTTATCTGGTAAAGAATTGTGGAACCACTAATTAATTATATAAGAAAACAAGAGTATGAAATAATATTGTACTAAATTAATTGTTTTCATACAAGTTGTTAAAAATTATGAGATAATTATATTTTATCTATTTCTGAAATGAAATATTTAATTCATAACAATGAAAATATAGTAACCGTAATTTTTGTTGAATAAATAAAAGACTTTTAGACGTTATTTTAAATAATTAGACTAATTTAGATTCCCATATAATATATTTTTAAACTAAAGTTAATAATGTTAGTTTAAAATATGAATTATTAAGAGCGTGTTTATTAATTTTTCTGTGGGTTGAAAGCGTTCTAACCAATCTTGAGAAATATTTTTACTTTTAAACGGTCCACAATATGATGTCATCCACATCGTAGATAATTAGGCGAAAATACATCTCAATATATCTCATATGTATAGAAGTTTGACTTAAGTAATGTTTCTAAATAGATGAAGAAATATTACATAATTATGTTTTAATACATTTTTTATTCTCTTTTAGCAGGAGCACAAATCTTCGTTATGTGATTTTTCTTATCGAATACTGCTTTCGTTTAAAATTAATAACCATAGTTCTAGATAACACTTTACACAACAGGTGAAGTTTATTAATCTGTACTTAATTCCTTTGAAATTGTATTTTTTTTCATAACCACAAACGTCAAGTACAAGTTCATGTATGTCAAATACATTAGATATTAATCATACTTATACAAGTTTTATGGGCACTGGCCATTTTGTTTAGTTGTATTTAACATCGAAAGTTTTGTTTGAATTCAATAAAACATATACATATTATTACAGAACTCATAGTTGAAATTATGCAAACATCGTTATTTATTTGAACATCATCTAATATTTTATCAGGATCCAGTTATAACTGGTGTAACCCACGTCTCTGGTGCTGATGGTGACGGTCTGCGTGCATCGTGGCGGACTCTGCACGTTTTCCCTGACGACTACGCTACACACCGTGGCTATCTAGCTCTTCAATGTCGAGCCACACTTCCTACTAGACCGCCACACATCCGAAGCATGGCAGTCAGGCTGTTCGTCGCTAGCAGACCACACATATCGTCTTATATGTTAAGTAAAAATAGTAAGTGGGCGTGTAAAAAAGATTTGTTTTTGATTTAAATTACTCACGAAATAACGAATATCATGAAAAATGCTATAGATTTTTTTTCCACTTTTTAGTGCCTCGTACTTGTTTTTCTGAAATCTATTATATTTCATAACAAAATTTAATATCCTCCTTACTATCTTCCCATATAAAAGTAATTAATGAAAACATACTCATTCCGTAATTAAATGTTTGCATGTTTTAATATGTAAATAAATGCAATTAAGTATTCTGAGAATAATAAAATGTACATAGACTGTATTTGCCTTGGCGCCGCATCGTCTCGGTATTCGAACTGCGCTCGAAATGTTGCCTGCATATGCAAATAATGCAAAATACGAGCAATAAAGTTCCTAAGACATGAATCAAAGAGAAGTTCTTTGTTTCTTCAATAAAATTGATTTCTACATCAACGAAAATGAATAATTCTCATTAAAAGACTACTTTTATTACTAGTACACTTTGGAACTACTATAACTAATAATATAAATTTACAATTCTTATATGAAAAACATTGTCCTAGTAGAAAATTAAGTAGGATTACAATAATTTTAAATTTAATAGTTCTCTGTAGGTTTGTTTTCAAGTTTGGTTGGGTAGGAAGCGAGGTTATAACGGTGGAGCTGAGCGTTTAACGCGCGTTAGATAGGCGTCCTTAAATTTACACCTGGGTCGCAAGTCCCAGGCACTGTTGAACTCTCACTACAACGCAACCATTTAATGCTAAGTGGTTTCGTCTCTGTAACATTTTCCTTTTCATTCTAGTTCTTAATTTTCAAATAATACTGCCAGTGTAGCCTTTTAAATGTATATTTAAGAGTTAGTTAACTTTTATATAGTGAGTTCTTTAAGAAGAATATTCCATTTCCAGATGCTGTTGGTAAAAGCAGTGCAATTAGATTACATTATGAATTGTTTCTATGGACCTTACTTCTGGCGGTGAGGAGACAAGTGCCTTTACTAGTGAAATAAATATTGGACTAATTGCGGACTGAAGTACGTAAAGCTGTGACGTAATTTTAAACAAATATTAGTTCTAAGAACCATACATATTGTGTATATTTTATTTGCGATATAAAATTCATTGATAGTTAATAAAATTTTGATAATTCATATCGTTTCTTTTCAAATTGATAGAATATATGATTAATTTATATAATAACCTAAGTTACTTTGAGTTTTAATAGACTAAATAGATTTGAAAATAATGCGTTTTACTCTTTTGTTGTAAATATTTAGATAAGTGTAGATCTTAACACGTTTCGTATTATAATGCACTTATTGTACAGAATCTATCGGAAATACGATCATGTGTTGTAAAGGTTAGTCGAACAATGTGTGATTTAAATTAAATAATAATCTATGTGCCAATTAATTTAATTAAGTGTGCATTTGTATCTTTCTCTCTGGTTCATAGGATGAAAGTTCTCCTTTTATTTAGTTTCTTATTAAAATAAAAAGAAATGTATAATATATACAGATGATCAATGGAAAGTGAAGATTCAATTAACATTTCTTGACTTTTAGTGCGGCAAAAGTGTGTTTTCATAATTGTTTTCAATACACAATTATTGACAATATACGAAATTTTATAGAAAATAAGAATAATTATGATAGAAATTAATTTTTTCGTACACAACACCCAGAATGGCTTTTAATAATTAACTATACTCCGCACCGCATTAAAGGATAAATTACCTTGTAATTATCTTTTTTTTCTAGTTTATGTCTGTATATATAAATATATCGTATTGTAACATAATGGTACATAAAACCCTCAAGTAACCTCCTATCAAAATTCTGGAACGGTATTTTACAATAATTATCTTTCTTTCATAATTCTCATATTAAATGTTATATTTTGCATACGAATTGCATTTAAAATTCGTTCCTAAATATTTTGTACAGAATACAATGAATAGAAGACAATCAGGGAAACATGTAAATGAAATCTAGTTATAAAAATGCTCCATTCATATTCGACGAATTTATTTGATTAAATCTTTAAAGAAGTTATTTATTTCGTTCTTCTGTGATAATGTAAGTAAATTGTATTTATTCTACAAAAAGATATCTAAGTGTCAATAATATAATTATTGAAATAAACTGTCGTTTTATTTGAAACACAAATAACATTGATGAATATCGGTGAATTGAAGTAGTGAGAAAGTTACCCGCACTAGATCTTAGGATCCTTACAAATAGTATTGTAATAGCTCCTAAAAGATGTCAATTAAAAATGATATATGTGAAAGTGTTATACCTTTTCTAAGAGTGGTGTATCGACCTGGAAACTCTAAGCTATTCGCTTGCTATATGTTGACTCAAACAGTACCACACCTGTCTGTGACACTTTATTTATTAAAGATGTTATTGGATGTAACAACCACGTTGGATTCTGTTTAATATAAAACACTTGAATACACTCTATTAGTAGTAAATTACTTGTAGTTTATACTGAAAAATACCACATGTGTTAAGTTCGATAAAAATATTTTATTAATTAAAAATACATATTAATGCCAAGTTATGTTCAAATCGTTTTTATTTGAAGTTATTTATTTTGAACACTAGTATCATAGATTTGTAAGGTGTAATAAAACTATTATAATGGCCTTATCACAATTAAGTACTAGTAACCTTTTGTCGTCGAAAAACTTGCAGTTAAGGTACATAATTAAAATAATGTATAACTTGTTATTATTGATATACAATCAATACCAGACTATGAATTCTTAAACCTGAAAAACAATTATCTTTTCAGTTAATAATCCAATTTAATTGGATATTCTGTACGATTCTTTGATTTACAAATAATAATAAAGATTTTCCTCTATTCCGTTTCTCCACATCTACGTTTGCTCAAGACTGTTTTATCCCGACTGATAAAATATTCACATGAGAATAGGACTTATCTAAATAAGAGATCTCTTTGTCCTTAAGATAAGCATAGAATGACTAATTTCTTCTGAAAACACAAATATACCATTAGACATTTGTATAAACAGATTATTGTTTAGTATAAAATACTATTAAGTCAATGTTAATATGAGCATATACCACTTTCAGTAAACAATATTTTGCGTTAAATAAAAATAAGCCTTGTATTAAAATGAATACTAATTGAAATAATGTATGAAACATGTAATAAAATTACAAGCAGAAATGTTCCAACATATTGAATACATATTTTTAATTAAATTCTAAAACTAATAATACTCTGACATTGCTCAACTAACAATACATACAACATTGGTACGTACAATTTACAACGCTGCTACGAACCAGTTACACGCGCTACGAACGTAGAGGTAAGGTCTACGGAACGTAGCATTTTTAGATCTACGAATAATTAAACCAATTAATTTTAAGAACTAATAACATTTTTAGATATTAATTATTATTATTTCATTTAATTAATTACATAATCATTGAATGTCATATATGACCGATTTACATCAACTTTTTGATATATAAAATGAATTTCTACAGAGAAATTATATAATTTGTATATGGGCGCGCTGTTGTGATAACGCCCTTATATATCTGGGATCTCTCCATTTTCTATATAATAAATTAATAATGTCACAGTTAGTGATAGTTTATATAAATAGTATAATTTTAAGTGATTTGACAATATATTATATGTCCATATTGCTATGATATTTCAATGTGGAAGTTGCTTTATAATGTCGCAGGTTCAATAAAATTCTATCCAGTAACAAGTCAATCGAATCAATTAAATCATCAATCCATACCAGAACCCATTAATGGTGGAACGATCCAATCTGACCAATGAGTTGGACTTCCGGCTCTAATGGAGCGGAAGATACAATTGAGTGTCTGCAATCACTCAGAGCTAGCAATGAAATAATGGTAATGGAAACTAGTCTTGTTGCTCGATAAGTTGGCACTAGTTCACCTTAATAACTGTTACTAAAAATCATAGGAGAACAAAAAAATATAAAGTAGAATAACCATAAAAATATATAAAAGTAGAAAAGAAAAGAACATGTTTGTATCAGAACACTTTTTATTTTTAGATAACTGTGAATACGTCGAAGGTCACCGATTTCATTTCCTCGTTTGGATATAAGAATAAATATGTGAATGGAATAATCTGGCGTTGGACATTTTCCAGCTTTTTATTAGAAATAAAAATTTTCCCGTGTATATTAGGTCACAAAATTAATCAGAGTTAAAAAAAATTGCTCAGGACTTCGTTAAAAAATAAAAATTAAACAATCATCCGGCACAGCTCTGTAAAGGTTTTTTGTTTTATATTGTTAGAGCCATTTTAAAAAACAAAAATTCGAAGAATCATAGTCGAATAAAACAAACTCAACGATCCATAAATATTTAGCTGGAATTCCCATTCAAATACTTCTAGTTCCATTATTTGTTTAGTTCGATGTTCACGAAAATAGAACACAATTTAAATTTCCAATCATGAGGAACTGTTTTTTTGTGAACTATTTTAAATAAACAAAATAACTTATGAGAGAGCAATCTGACTTCTTTCAACTATTAAATCGTACATCAATTTGACGCAAAAATATCTGACGAATTGATAACGAACTTCTTATTTGTGTAATACTGTAAAAACAACTTGAATGCAATGAAATATTGTTTATGCCGAAACGATCAGAAATAAAAAGTGTTTTGTGATTTCATAAAAATACCATGCGAGTGAAATTTTATTGGATTGTAGGCTATTTAACTATAAATGTGGGAAATTTATTTGAGCTAACAATAATAAATTTTCTTTTTCAAAATTTCCTTTTTATTGAATAGACTTAAGTCAATAGTAGATACTCGTAAGATTATTTACAGGTTATAGATGACTGAAGCATATAAAAAATATATTATTTCAATGACAGGTTGAAACAAAACTACAAAATTTACAAATTCCGGAGAACATAAATCACATTTCACAATCACTTCACTGTAATGATACCTATAATACGACATGCTAGTGCTTCTATATCTATCACTATAGACGAACCTTTTTGAGACAGCGTACCAAACTTAAACTGTAAAAAATAGAAGAATTTTGTGTTTTATACTAAAAGGTGTAGTTGTCTGTGTAATTAGTTTAAAATGCCAATGGTTTTG